GCGCGGAGGGGCCCAGACCGAGGTGAACGAGCCCCAGCTCCTGGAGGGCGCCTGCCTCGACGCGAGGTCACGCGAACATTTCCTCCGTGCCGGCGGGTAGCTTCACGCGGTAGAAGGCGCACTCCAGGTCGCACGACGACAGGCACATGTCTTCCGCGGGCGCCTCGACGCCTCCGAGGGCCGCCGCGGATGGCACCCGGGTGGACGGAGAATCGAAAAACTTGCAGTCAGCGGCCCTCGGATCGAAGATGATGCGGAGGGCTCTCGACTTCTTGGGGACACAGAAGATCGATGGTGCGAGGCTGACCCTTGTCCGCCGCAAACTTGATTATCTGCCTCTCGTACATCTGAATCAAATACTGACCGCGCGCGCTCGCGTTGCGAGTCAAGGCTGGGTCACGGCATGGCCCGCGAGGGCCTGCTGCTTGCGCCGGGACATCAGCTGAACACCGATCTCGAAGCATCTGACTCTGCCAGTTCAGTTCCCCAGCCTGACCTCATCCCTGGGATGCGCCAGACTGACGATGTCGACGGGCGTGGAAACCATTGAAGGCCACGCGACCTTGTCGTTGACGCAGGGACCCGACGTGGCGGCGCCCGAACAGCACAGGTTGGCGCAGGAGAGGAGCTCCCGAAGGGCTCCGTCTTGACCAGCGCTAGATGAGCAGAACTCCGCGGGCGGCTGCCCCAAACTCGTCGATGCTGTCGGAGATAAGCATGATAGCCTGGGTTGCCCCTCGCGAACTGCCACGGACGGCGAGGACCGAGAGCCAAAATGTGGATTAAATGCGCTGGCTGCGGCGTGGATGCGGTCATCACGACGGGAGCAATAGCCGCAGCGGCGCGCAGAGCGGCGGCCGGCAGGTTTCGCGGGGCGAGGCACGGCAGCGGCTGCAACCAGCAGCGGGAATATGTCGCGGGTGCGACCACCTCCTGGCTGCCGAGGGCCTGCGGCGGGGGCCGCGTCCACGACCACCGTCGCGACCTCCACCACTGGCCGTCGGCCCCTGCACTGCCGGCGGCGCCTCCTCCAGCCGCCAGCAGCCGCTCCTCGCGCGCCTTGCGGCTCTCCTTGGCGATGTTTGCCTCGCGCACCTTCTCGGCGGCCAGCCAATCGCGCAAGGCTGGGGCGACACGCGCGTTGCCGGCGGCATCCCGAGCGCCCGACATCAGCGCTGCATCTGAGCCGAATTCGGAGCTCGAGGCGAACCTGCCCCTGTACAACTCCTCCTGCGTCTGGAGCGTCCGTCCCACCAGCTACATGGCCGCGAGGTTGGTCACGCGTAATTGGTCGTAGACGACCCAGAGCTCCAGGAGGCGGCAGCACAGGAGGTGTGCATCAACACCTGGATCGTCAGGCTCCAAGGACGCCTCTGACTTCCACTTGACAAGGCGACCGGGTGGTGCCCCTCCGTTGCGGCAGATGAAGGTCAAGACCCAGAACAACGTTCTCGGCCCCTTGGGGGGCCAGTCGCCCCAGGCAGCTCGTGCAGCTGGACGACGGCGGCACGGAAGTCGATGTACCTCACGCCCTGCGTGCCCCACGAGACTGTCTGCACCCTGGCGTCGCCTCCTGGAGCGCCTGCGATCGCTGCAGGGGCCCCAGCGAGTCCAGCAAGGCCTGGGGCGCCGCCTCCAGCGGCTGGCACTGCGCCCGCAGCTGACATCACTGCGCTGCCGCTCGCGCGCCCGAACCAGCGCCGCTGGAGCTCTAGCATCAGCCTCGAGACCCAGGGCCAGCGAGCCCCCCGAGCCGCACTCGCGGGCTGCGAGCCCCCGAGCCGCGGCAGCGCCGAGGGCCAGCCCACCCCCGAGCGCCAGGAGCACGGCCGAGAGCGGCCACCCAGCAGCCTGCGGCGGGCAATCCGAGAGTGCCGCCTCCAGCCCCCCGCAGCACACCAGCGAGGGCGCGCAGGTGCAGGTTGGGCACGCCGCGCGCGAGGCCCAGAGCAGCGCGGCCCGCGCTGCCCACTGGACGGCCTCGCCCGCTAGCCAAGCGGCGAAGGCCATCGAGATGCCGGGCCTTTGCACTTGAGCCTGCATGCCAACGGAAGATGGCATGACAGGGGCGGCGCACTCTCACCCAGGACTCTGCTTCACGTGTTGAAACTGGACAGACACAACAAAACACAACAACACACAACAATATACAAGAACATACAACAATAACCAGTCATACACAACAATATACAACCATATACCACAAGAAACAGAGGGATACAACAAGATACACAAAGATACAGCAAGATATAACAAGATACATCAAGATACAATACTATACAACAATATACAACAAGCTACAGCAAGATACCGCAACATTCAACAATATACAACTCGGTACAACAAGATACAACAATATACAATAATAGACACCAAACGACAATAACAGACAACAACAGACAACAAGATACAACAAGATGTGTTTGTGTTAGTGCACTGCTTAGCGTTAGGATGTCCTGCAGCAGGCACGCCTATCTCTCCCCTTCCTGCAGCCTCTTCGATTTGTGCTGCAATTTTGCGGAGGGGCCCGCGCATATGCACGCGCGCGGGCGCGCCCCTGAACACGCATGGTGTCGATGCCGGTAATCGCCATTCTGGCCCCATGAGCAACATCCCTGGCCTCCTTGGGAGGCTTCGGGGCGCCCGCAGTCGACCCCCAGGGAGGGGGGCCCGTGACCGGGAGAGCGGGGCCATTGGGAGGGAGCCAAAACCCGCAGGCCGAGGAGGTGTCGCTCCTGGACCTGGGAGGCGCAGGTCAGGAACAGTCCGGGCCCCCTGCGGCTCCAACCCGGACGGACCGTTTCGGTGCTACCACCTGGGGGGGAGGGAGCGAGCAGGCGTGGCCTGAATGGGCCCCGGAAACGGCAGGGCCGGTTTTTCACCGTTTCCAAAAAAGTGCCCCTTGAAAATGGAAACGGCAAAAAAACAGCGATCGGAAACGGCAACAAAAACGGCTCCAGGATTGGAACCGGAGCGGGAACCCGTAAACAAAGGCGACGGAACCGGTAACAAACACGGCGTCGGAACCGGCAAAAAGACGGCAAAAGGGAGCCGGTAAAAAAACGGCCCTGTCGCTTCCAGGGCCCACTAAAAACGTGGCCGGCCCCAGGAGGCCATAGGCCGGCGCCCAGGGCTCCCACAGCTTCCCCGGTGGAGGACGTGCCTTCCCTGGCACTGCCAGCGAAGGGGCGCGAGCCGTCCCCAGTGGGTCATGGGGTGCCTCCGCCGGGCCCCCCAGAAGTCCACGACCGTGGCGACAGCCTCGCAGATCGCAGCCCCCCAGGGGACGGCGAGGTCTCGTGGTGATCCGCGTATGACGTACCTCCGCTGGGCCTCCCAGAAGCCCACGAAAGTGGCGACAATTTCGCAGAACGCAGCCCCCCAGGGGACGGCGAGGTCTCGTGGTGATCCGCGTATGACGTACCCCCGCTGGGCCTCTAAGAAGCCCAAGACAGGGGCGACAGCCTCGCAGATCGCAGCCCCCCAGGGGACGGCGAGGTCTCGTGGTGACCCGCGTATGACGTACCTCCGCTGGGCCTCCAAGAACCCCACGAGAGTGGCGACAGCTTCGCAGATCGCAGCCCCCAGGGGATGGCGAGGTCTCGTGGTGATCCGCATATGACGTACCTCCGCTGGGCCTCCGCTGGGCCCCTCAGAAGTCCACGAAAGTGGCGACAGCCTCGCAGATCGCAGCCCCCCAGGGGACGGCGAGGTCTCGTGGTGACCCGCGTATGACGTACCTCCGCTGGGCCTCCAAGAACCCCACGAGAGTGGCGACAGCTTCGCAGATCGCAGCCCCCAGGGGATGGCGAGGTCTCGTGGTGATCCGCATATGACGTACCTCCGCTGGGCCTCCGCTGGGCCCCTCAGAAGTCCACGAAAGTGGCGACAGCCTCGCAGATCGCAGCCCCCCAGGGGACGGCGAGGTCTCGTGGTCACCCGCGTATGACGTACCTCCGCTGGGCCTCCAAGAACACCACGAGAGTGGCGACAATTTCGCAGAACGCAGCCCCCCAGGGGACGGCGAGGTCTCGTGGTGATCCGCGTATGACGTACCTCCGCTGGGCCTCCCACAAGCCCAAGACAGGGGCGACAGCCTCGCAGATCGCAGCTCCCCAGGGAACGGCGAGGACTCGTGCTGACCCGCGTATGACGTACCTCCGCTGGGCCACGAAAGTGGCGACAGCTTCGCACATCGCAGCCCCCCAGGGGACGGCGAGATCTCGTGGTGATCCGCGTATGACGTACCTCCGCTAGCGCTCCCAGAAGCCCACGAAGGAACAAGGAGGCGGAGGAGGAGGAGGAGGCGGAGGAGGGGGAGGGAGAGAAGGAGCAGCGGCAGGAGGAGGGAAATGAGGTGGAGATCACAGTGCTCTACTTAAAACGAGTACCCAACCAAGGGAGGATTGGGAAAAAGGAGGACGGACGGCGGCGGCGGCAGCGGCAACGACGACGACGACGACGACAAGGACGACGAGGAGGAGACGACAAGGACGACGAGGAGGAGACGAGGAGGAGAAGACAGACAAAAAACAACGGTGATAACGACGGCCAGGGGAACAGGAGGGGGAGGGGGGAGGCCGACCACAACCTCCGCAGTCTCCACCTCCTCCTTTCCTCATTTCCCTCCTTCTTCCCTCAAATCCAGCGTCGTGCTTTTTCCGTCACATGGAACCCCGGAGGTCTAGACCACTTCCCTGGAAATGGATTTTCATCCTGGATCGTTTTTGGACCATCCTGGGGCCTGGAGAGATCCCTGGAGGCCCAAAATGTGTACAAACACGCCGTCGTGTTCCATGACGACGCGAGGAGGTTGGGATCCTCCTCCACCTCCTCCTCCTCCCCCTCCTCCTCTTACTCATCCTCCCCTCCTCATCCTCGTCCTCCTTCTCCTCCTCCTCCTCCTCCTCCTCCTCCTCCTCCTCCTCCTCCTCCTCCTCCTCCCCCTCATCCTCGACAAACACGACTTGACCAGAGCAGGCCGTTGCTGGGGCGGAGACCGTCGGGATCTGGCGCTGCGCCGAGCGCGGGTCCAACGGCCACGCAGGGACTCCGCGCGGTCGAGGGGGGGGGTCCTCGCCGGCTGGCGGGCAGGTCCTTCCCTCCCCGTGCAATCGACAAGGACGGGATATCATCGTGAGTGTTCCTGGGGCTTCCTGGGGCCTCTTGGGGCCTCCTGGGGCCTCCTGGGGGGGGTCCTGGGGCTCCCTGGGGGTTCCTGGCGCATCCTGGGGGCGCCTCCTGGGGCTTCCTGGGATTTCCAAGAGCCTCCTGCGGGTTCCTGGACCCTGCCGATGCCTCATGGTGCTCCTGGAGCATTCTGGAGCCTTCTCGTGCTTTACAAAACCTAGGGCCCCCCCCAAAGCCTCCTTAGAACTCCCAGGGCGTCCTGGGACCTCCAAGGGTTCTTTGGCCCTTCCTGGGACCCCCTGGGACCTCCCAAGGCATGCTGGGACGTCCCGGGCCATCCTGGGAGCTCCTGGGTCTCCTGGGCCCGCTACTCCCTTCCCTGGCTCCGCGGAGGCGGGCGCTGTAAAACAATGATTCTGCGCAGACGTCGATTTTTTCATAGGCGCACAACGTGTGCGCAAAACTCCGCAGCCCTGTGTTCACCGAAGGGGTTCTTGATTCCTGGAAGCCCAGGCTGCAAGTTCACCCCTCCTGGGGCCTCCTGGGGCCTCCCGGAGCTTCCTGGGGCCTCCTGGAGCCCCCTGGAACCTCCTGGTAGGGGAGAGGTCGGAGCACAACCGCAACGGCTCGTCCGAGACCACCTCCTCCTCGCCTTCCTCCTCCCATTCCTCCCCCCTTTCTGAATGTGCTGTCCCTTCCTGCCCCCTGTATCATCCCTACGCCACCACCGCCTCCTCCTCCTCCTCCTCCTCCTCCTCCTCCTCATCATCACCCTCATCACCATCACCATCACCATCACCATCACCATCACCATCACCATCACCATCACCATCACCATCACCATCACCATCACCATCATCAACATCATCATCATCATCATCATCATCATCATCATCATCATCCTCATCATCATCATCATCATCATCATCATCATCATCATCATCATCATCATCATCATCATCATCATCATCATCATCATCATCATCATCATCACATCATCATCGTCGTCGTCATCATCATCAGCATCATCCTCATCATCATCATCATCACATCATCATCATCATCATCATCATCATCATCATCATCATCATCATCATCAGCAGCAGCAGCAGCATCAGCATCATCATCATCATCATCATCATCATCATCATCATCATCATCATCATCATCATCATCATCATCATCATCATCATCATCATCATCATCATCATCATCATCATATTATCCTCATCATCATCAGCATCATCATCATCATCAGCATCATCATCATCAGCAGCATCATCATCATCAGCATCATCATCATCATCATGCATCATCTGCATCATCCTCAGCATTATCATCATTATCATCATCAACATCATCATCATCAGCATCATCATCATCAGTATAATCATCATCAGCATCTTCATGATCAGCATCAGCATCATCATCAGCATCATCATTATCACCCCACTGTCATCATCATCAGCATCTTCATCAGCAGCAGCATCAGCATCATCATCATCGTCATCATCATCAGCATCATCATAATCAGAATCATAATCATAATCATAATCATCAGCAGCAGCATCATCAGCATCATCAGCATCATCATCATCATCACCACCATCACCACAATCACCACCAACATCATCATCATCATCATCATCAGCATCATCATCATCAGCATCATCAGCATCATCGTCGTCAGCATCAGCATCATCCTCATCATCATCAGCGTCATCAGCACATTCTTCATCATCATCATCATCACCGTCAGCGTCGTCATCAGCATAATCATCATCCTCATCATCATCACCACCATCATCATCATCATCATCGTCAAAATCAGAATCATAATGATCATCAGCAGCAGCAGCATCATCATCACCACCATCACCACCGCCACAACCACCACCATCATCATCATCATCATCAGCAGCATTAACATCATCATTATCATTATCATCATCATCATCATCATCATCATCATAATCATCATCATCATCATCATCATCATCATCATCAGCATCATCATCATCATCATCATCACCAACAAGGGCATCATCAGCATCATCATCGTCAGCATCATCACAATCCTCATCATCATCATCATCCTCATCATCATCAGCATCATCATCTTCATCCTCATCCCCATCCTCATCCCCATCCTCATCAGCATCATCATCATCCTCATCATCATCATCGTCATCGACAGCAGCAGCATTATCATCAGCATCATCAGCAGCATCATCAGCTTCATTATCAGCATCATCAGCATCATCATCATCAGCAGCATCATCAGCATCATCATCGTCATCAGCATCAGCAGCATCATCATCATCAGCATCATGATCATAACCAGCATCCTCATCACACAATCATCATCGTCATCACCACCATCACCATCATCAACCTCATCATCAACATCATCATCATCATCATCATCATCATCATCATCATCATCATCATCATCATCATCATCATCATCATATTCGCCGTCATCTTCATCATCACCATCAGCAGCAGCAGCATCCTCGTCATCAGCATCTCCATCATCGCCATCAACATCATCATCATAATCATCATCATCACCACCACAATCATCATCATCATCATCATCATCACTACCACCATCATCATCATCAGCAGCATCATCAGCATTTTCATCTTTATCTTCATTTCCATCTTCATCCGCATCCTCATCATAACCCTCATCCTCATAATCATCACCATCGTAATCATCATCACCACCACCGTCATCATCATCATGATCATCATCATCGTCATGATCAGCATCGTCACCGTCATCGTCGTGGTCATTTTCATCATCATCAGCATCCCTTACTTATTGCTACTGCTCATCATGATTGTTCTCAAACTTCGTCCTACCTCCTAACGCTTCTCACCGACCTCCTCATATTCCCTCTCCTCCTCCTCCTCATCCTCTTCCTTTCCCTCCTCCTCTTCCTCTTCCTCCTTTTCCGACTCGGACGGACGAGCGCACGAGACTTGGGAACAGAAATTCCAGGCGATGGAATGGCGAGCCGGGACGCCACGAGGCTGTGGATGCGAAGCCCTCGGGCGACAGAGGGAGGACAAGGGAGATTCGCGCGCGCCACACCTGACATTGTGCTGGAGCTGTTTTGCGTCGCCGTGCTTGGCGATGGCAGAACCCATGAGAACAGGTTGGACAAACTCTTGGTGGAAAAATAAAACAGGCAATCGAAAAGCAGGACAACAGGGGATGCTGATGAGGACGACGATGAGGAGCAGCAGAAGAACGAAGGAAGGAGGGAGGAGAAATTGAAATAGGGGCGGGAAGAGAATAAAGGATAGGAATCGAAGTAAGCCAACTTGGGGGGCGCAAGGTTGTGAGATCTCTGTTGGACTGCTGTCGTCCTGTGGCGAACAGACTGAAACCATACACAAGCCCGAAAGGAATCCGTGATTCTTGCCTCTGGAAGCCTTCTCGCGGGTCCTCGTGGAGCCGCTCTTGCGCTCCGTGTTCAGTTGGGGCCGTCACGCGGCCATCTAGGAGCATCTGGGTCTCTCTTGGACCCAGGTCAGCATCCGCTCTGGCCATTGCCTCCTAGGGCCACCTGGGGCCTCCTGGGCTCCCCTGGGTCCTCCAGGGCCTTTTGCAGCCTCCTGCAGCCTCCTGCAGCCTCCTGAAGCCTCCTTAGCTCCCCTGGGACCTCATGGGGCCCCCTGGGGCCTCCTGGGCTCCACTGAAGCATCTCAGAACATCCTGTGGCCTCCTGGGGGGCCTAGTGGGTGATCCCTCCCATGCCATACACATAAGCTGTTGGGTTATATGGATATACATATATATACATGCATACATACATACATGCATAAACATATATACATATATGTATACGTGTGTAAATATATGTGTGTATATATGTGTGATGTATGACATATGATATGTACATGTACACATATAGCTATATATATATACACACAGATACGTATAAATATACATATGTACATACATATATGCAAGCATATGAATATGCATATATGTATACATACACATATACATATACATATATATACAAATACATAAACATATGCATATACATATACATATACATATACATACCCACATACAGATACACATACACATACAAATACATATACATAAACATGTACATATACATATACATAGACATATACATGTAAATATACACATACCTATACATATACATTACACATATATATATAGATATATACAGTCATGAACATGTACATATACACATGCACATACACATACACCTACACATGCACATGCACATTCACATACAAATACATACGCATATACATTTTCATATACATAAACATGAACATGTACAAATACATATACATATACGCATACATATACATATACATTTACATATGCATATGCATGTACATATACACATATATACATATACATTTACACGTGAACATATACATGTACACATACAAATACATATACATTTACATGTATCAATATAAATATACATACACATCTACGCATGCATGACCATATACGTATACATATGCACAACATATACATAAACATTTGCATATACATATGCATATGCATTTTCATACACATATACACATGCATGTACATGTACACGTGCATACACATATACAAATACATACACACTTACACATACATATACATAAATATACATACACATACAGGTGTATATATAACCAGATAAATATACATATACATATACATATACATATGCATATATATATGCATATGTATATACAAACATACACACATGCATATACATATACATATGTATGTAAATAAACATTGACATGCACATAAACATGTACATTTGCACAAGCACATAATTATACATACGCACATACATATATACATACATATACATATACATACACATATACACATACATATACATATAGTGCACATAGATGTGCGTGTATATATATATATATA